GAGTCAAAGTGGAGGAGTATCTGGCCATTGTACACTAACTGCCAGAACCCACTGATTTTTCCATTGCCTTCAGGCTGACAAGACATTTTGCCCAGTAGGGTGCAGGGATCTTCTCCTGGGAAAGAGATGGAAAGAAAGCAGACTCTGGTCTTGACACATGCATTCCTTTCCCTCCTTCTCTTCCCTGTCTCCTCCCTCCTCCTTTCTTCCTGCTACAGAGTTTTGAACCCTGACCTTGCACTCTAGCTTAGCTTTTCAATTTGTTGGAGATATTTCTGCTGGGGCTAGCTTCAAAGCCAGATGCTCAGATCTTAGCCTTCCAAATAGCTAGGATTATAGGCCTGAGCCAGCAGTGTCCAGTGTTTCTCCCCTTGTTTTCTCTCTTCTCCTCTATTTTCCACATCACAGCCTTCATGCTGGACTTGTTGGAATCAACATCCAGGGTTTTTTTTTTTTTTACATGAAAGTCATGCATTCCCTGTATCTGCCACCGTACCTGCTCCTTCCTTCTCAGGACCATTTGGAACTTACCCATGGTTGTACCAGTCTCTAATTTAATGTGAGCCAGTTGCTGTCTGAGGATGTCCCCTACGTCTTTCAGAATATCAGGTTGCTTTTGCCAGGCCTCTGTTTTAGTCACTTTCATCCCGAATAGACCCACAGGACTGCACGTGTCATTGCTACTGTTGTAGTAAAGGAATGTATGTTGATCCACTTGGCCGTAAGCTTCAAACCACCACTGTCTCGAAACAACAGTGATATTATAGGAAAGAGAGTGAGCATCTGTGGGGGAAGACATACAATGAGGTTTGAGATAAAGAACAAGAAATCCAGAGACACCCTGTCCCTCAAGACTGTGACACCAAGAAAATCCCTCAGGAAGTTGGACTGGCAAAAAAGGAAAAAATTAACGTTCTTTTTGGTCCTTCTTCTGCACTAGTAAAGTATAGATCGTCCTCCATGGTTTGAGGAGCAAGAGAGGGCCCTGCCTGCCGGGAAAGCACCTATTCCTAGACCTGTTGGACCTGTTCTCTCTCTCAGGCAGATACCTCTATTCATGAAAACAGGATTTTGTCATTTAAATGCCAGGTTGCTGTGTCAAGCAAAGTTCTGAGAAGGGCATTGCAGAGTGGACAAAATATGAAACATGTCTAGAGACTATCCAGTCCAATTTGCTCCATAGGAAGGCATAGAGGACTGCTGCTTACCAAGCATACAAAGAATAGCCAGTGAATGAAGTGCTTCTGTTTTCCAAAGATCAATGAACTGAATACCTAGGGCTTGTGGTAGGAGATGGCAGTACAATCCCAATACAAAGACCCCATGTAGAGTGTTTACTCCATATGGACAATGGGGAACAATGGTCAATATAATAAAAGGGTGGCTGTAGCCAGGGGCCTGGTCCCCAGAGGGCTCTGCCAAGGTTCATAGAATCCAAATTTCCTCAACATCATAAGTTTGCCACAAACCCTGATATGGCTGCATCAGAGGAGTTGAAGACAAATCTCAGAGAAGGGTGACCAGGAGGCCAAGGCTCCATTCCCAGAAAAGCTGGCTCCTGTGCCAGGTTTCCAGAAGTGATCCACTGCTCATACAGACCCACAGTTCTTTCTCAAGTGGAGAGCAGGTTCACAGAAGGAGGAGCCTTTAAACCCCGCCCCCCCCATCAATAAATGCTTCTTTCTGGCTCACTGCACTGCACTCATGCACTAAGGCTCCAGGGTCAGGCATGAACTTTCCAGAGGCTGTCAGGAAGGGCAACACTGTAACAACTGCAGGCTTTCCGGGCTAGAGACTCTGCTCCTATAGCTTGGAAGCAGCCACAGGTAACCCATGAATGGCTGATGTGTCTGCCCCTGCCCACAGGGCCCTATGATCAAGGCAGGCTGTGACCCTGAGAGGTGTGTGCTGGGTAATCATGCTGTGTGGAATTCGTGGCCGTTGGTAAATGGACAGTCCCTGGTGTTCAGAAGCCTGTGCCATCTGCCACAGAGATGTGTGCAGCAGTGCAAGCGCCTGGCATGGCACTGGGCTGGGAGACAGGGGCTGTCTGGTTCTGGGGAATGAGTGGACACAGCCTCAGCGGCACCATGCTGAGGTGGGCTACTGCCTCTCTCAGTCATCAGGCAGCCTGGCATTCTCACACAGGGAAGATGGCAGGAAATGAAGACATGGAATGTGATGTAGGACTTGAATAGTCAGACTTACCATAGTAGGTTAAGGGAGACAGGCAGGGATCTTCTCTTGGGACAGCACACCTAGAGCAGTCCCTTACTGCAGAGCACAGGACTGAGATTGCCCTGTACAAGGAGTCCCAGGTGGCACAATCTCACCTCAAAGTCACACCTGTGGCTCACACCTGCGGCTTCAGGGTGTGCCCACTCTGGCCCAGATGACCCAAGGAACCCACTGGACAGCCAAGGAGACCACAGTGGTCTCAAACAATGGGAACTGTTGTGTCCTATCACTCAGGCCAGCCAAAGCCACAGGCAGCACAGGGGCCCTGCTGAGTGATAAGCACACACTTGGATCCCAGGCAGGAAGTTGATCTGCCACCCACACTCAGACCTTGCTAGACTCAAATCTGAGTTCAGGAGACTAGGGTCCCAGTTGAAGCCAATGCTCACTCCTGTGACCCTAGCTACTCAGGAGGCTGGGATCTGAGGGCCAATTTGGGAACAAGACTGGCCAGGAACGAGCATGAGACCTCATCTGCGATTACTAAAGAGCAAAGAAGCCAGCTGGAAGTGGTGCTGTGGCTCAAGTGCTAGAGTGCTAGCCTGGAGCAAAAGGAACTTAGGGACAGTGGCCAGGCCCTGAGTTCAAGCCTGAGGACCAGCCCCAAAAAGGAGGGGGGGATGGGAGGAAGGGAATTCAAAGGCAAAGACTGCAGGGGGTACCCTGGAGGTTGTGGCCCTGTGTGTAAAGGGAGAGGAGATGGGAGGAGATTGTCCAGCTGTGGGTAATTCACATCTCCTGCCTGATCATATCCTGTGCTAGGGATTTCCTATCCACAGTAGGGCAGAAGGAAGATGCTGTGTTGGTGTTTGTGGGGAGAGGCGGCGGGGTGGGGGGGGCCCTGGGGAAGGTGCGGTGAGGAGGGTGGTTCAGCTAGGGGAAGGAAGGGTCTGGCCTTTAAACTTTCCTTTTGCCCTCTCCTTTGCTCTAGTCCAGTCCCATTACACTTGGGGTTCTTTCCCTGTTATTTTCTCCATGGCTGCTCAGGCCGGCAGCCTGCTGCCTGCCTGGGCTGGGCTGGGCTTGGCAAGGATGGAGACTTGGACGCGCCCTGTGCTTGGTGACAGGGGCCCTAGGAGTCCTGTAGTGTTCGTGGCGCAGTCCCACGGGGAAGCCCACGCGGATCGCACCCATTCCCGACTTGGGACCTGAACTCACCGGCCACATTCCAGCAGAGCAGCCCGCAGAGCAGCCGCAGAATCCAGGTATCCCGGGGTGCGGATCCGGAGTGTCCCCTGCGCTCCATGCTGGCTTCCCGAGGACCGCAGCAGCGACCGCGAGCCTGAAAGTGCACAGTGCGCCTGAGCCCCGGGTCCCGCAGGCAGGCCGGGCCGGCTCGCGGCTCCGGGCCCCTCTGCTGGAGCCCGCAGCTCCGTGCCCGATCCCTCTCCCCACAACCCTCCTTAGTCAGGCGTCACCCTGGCCCTGGAGAAGAATCCGGAGAGTTCTAAGGTCTTAAGGGAGCCAATCAGAGGAAGTTCCGTCGTCTGCGCAGCTTCCTGATTGAATCTCAGAGCGAAGGACACTCCCAGACACGTCACGCCCAGCCGTGGGTGCCCAGTGTCCAAGAGTCACACTCTGCTTCTTCACCTCTAGTTTGGAAGCCACCAGGGTAAGCAGCAGCAGCAGCAGCCCAGCCAGGACAGTGTTCTGCTGGCATGGACCCTTGTTTTACAACTTCCTTGGGCGAGCAGTCTGACTGAGCTCCCATAATTATGCCCCAGCAAACTAACCAAAGGAAGAGCACCCAACAATGAAAATGACCAGGCAGCACATGCACGTGAATCTGAAAGAGGTCTGTGAACGGAGGCCAGAAGCCAGCAGTGCGCATTTCTCAAGAAGTTATTTTTTGCTTCATTAGCAGGTGCTAATGTATCAGTGCTACATACTTAATTTCACCTGTATTCAACTAAGCAAATATGAATGTTATTTTCCCTTTTCCTTTCCTTTTCTTTCCTTCTTACTTCGTTTTTCTTTCTTGTTTCCTCTCTTTCCACCTTTTTCTGTTTCATTTCTCTCTTTCTTCCTCTCCTTTTTTCTTTCTCTCTTTTTGTTTCATTCTCTGCCTCCCTCCCTCCCTCCCTCCTTTTCTTCCTCCTGTCCTTCCTCCCTCCCTCCTTCCTTCCCTCGCTCTCTCTCTCCCTTCCTTCTTTCCTTCCTTCTTTTTTTGTGCCAGTTCTGAGGGTTAAACTCAGGGCTTGGCTACTGTCCTGGAGCCTTTTTGTGCTCAAGCTAGAACTTTACCAGTAAAGCCATAGTGCCACTGCCACTTTTTCTGTGATTTCATAGGAGATCAGAGTGTCAAGATGGATCTTCCCTGGGCTGGCTTTGAAGGAAGATTCTCAAATCTCAGCCTCCTGCTTAGAAGGATTATAGGTGTGAGCCACCAGCACCTGCCGGGAATATTCTCCAATGACCATGCCTGTCTTTGATTCTTCTTGCCCTAACATTTTTATTTAACATTAGTTTTCAAAAACCTTTGAGTTTTTTCTTTATTAACTAATTACATAAATTTTACAGTTTTGTGACAGAGTGATGCTTAGCTAAAGTCACAAACACACTTTACTATTCACAATGCAAATTGTCTTTATTTTGGTCTACAAAGCTTATGAACTGTACAAACGTTAACGACAGAACTATTTCTTCCAAATGGGGTGATTGTTCCTTTCTTTGCTTTTGCACAGTGTTAGCTGTTCCCTCTTCTCTCTCCTTCCCTCCCTCCCTCACTGCCCATGAGTTGCTTAGTTCTCTTTCCTCAGTGTCCAGTGTAGCTGATGGACCCCTCTGCTGTATTTTTCACCCATTTTCCTCCAAATCTCTGCCTTCCTCCTAGACTCCCTCAGATGTGCATGGGTATACACCATATATGGGGTCAGGAACATAGAGCCATCTAGAAATGAATTGACAACTTAAGACACGGACCTTTGTTTCTTGCCTCCTGTTTACTATGTCATAGCTCATTGCATTGTGAAAGTAACAATGGCAGATCAGGGAGAACCTGTGTGGTTTGTGTCTCTGATCTTGCATTATCTTGCTCAACATGATTTATTTTAGTCCCATCCATTTCCCTGCAAATGCCATTATTTTATTCTTTCTAATGACTGTGTCATATTCCATTGTATATAGGTACCACCATTTTTGGATCCATTCATCTGTGGTGGGGCACCTGG